TTCTGTGTGCCACTGCTTGCCAAATTGAATAAAAAAGAGAGCCTTATGATTTAGTTACCTTTGCCCAATTGGGATTGTTTTGCACGCACTGCTGGGCATCACGGAGCGCCTCCTCATCTTTTCCTGTCTTTTTGTACATCAGAGATCGGTTTGAAAGAATGGTCGCTTTAAGATCTCTTTCATATGGTGGAGTATAACTAAGTGCAAGTGAATAGTAAGCGATCGCTAGCTCCACTGAATTGGGTTCCTTGGAGAGATGATTGCCTCTTTCTTTCCATCTTTTAGCTTCTTCCTGTAGAAAAAACAACACGCAACACCATAAGCATTGCGGAAAATACCATAATATTCATTAGGTAATCAACGCTTCATGTACACTTTACTTTTGTGCGCGATTTGCACGTGCAGTTTGTCGAAAATTTGCATACTCAGCGTATTCGCGTGCAAACGTACGGTTGTTTTTTCAACGAGAGAAGTAAGTTTGACGGACTCTTTAATCAGAGAAAAAGCTACAGGTTCTAGAGTAAGGCTCCTACACGTATTCTGAATATTCTATTGTGCCGTTGTAACAAAATGCGACCGGCAGCTCTCAACTTGAGTGCAACAGTGAACACCGAGTTTTGCGAGAGTTCGCGGCATACGCATTTGCAGTTCGCAGTGGCCTATTTTCGTGCTTATCAACAAACGCTCCAAGAGTTTTCTAAAAAGAAATGAAACTTCCCTGCTTCGTCTTTAGACTGGCCGGGGTCTATTGTTTGCGACTCAAAACATCAAACATGCCGGTCTACAAAAACAGGATCCAAGAAAAACGCCAAGAACACACCCTGTTCAGAGCGACCCTTTATAGTCTTTCGCCCTAAAGTAAACATTAAAGTAGTTTTGGGCTCTTTGTAATCTCATCACACTCGGTTCAGTTTGTCTAAACACCGTGGGTGATCTAGGTACGAGATTGGAAGGTCAGTTCCACTAGAATACTTCTTATTCAGCTGTCTTATTCTTGATCTCACCGTAGATTTTAGTGATGAATTTGACCTGTAAGACGTCTCTCCAACCTCAAGCGCTTTCCTGTACTGCCTTAATTTGAAATAAGCAGCTGCTTGATGGCTCTCCACAGAACGTCTAAACTTCAAAGCAGAGCTATCTTCAGGATGAAGCAAGAGGGCAAGCTTAAATAATTTCAACGCTTCTTCGTAGTTGTGCTGCTGAAACAGCTGGAGAGCAGCTTCCTTTTGATCATGAGCAGATCCCTGCAGAGATCAAAGGAGCTGTGTCATGAACAGTGGGAACTACCACCAAATAGGAGGGAACCTTTGGGGGGGTATTCCCGAGAATTTATGGTGGGGGCCATCCTCGGAGACCCAGGGGCAGATAGTGGCGGCGAGGGAAAGTCTAAACGGGCGGAAAAATATGGCGTTCTTTACTTTTCTTCGTGCCATATTTTTCCCCGCTCATTTCACTAGACTTTCCCTCGCCCCCACTGTCTGCCGCTGGGTCTCCGAGGATGGGTGGGGGCGTGCACGCCAACAAAAAGATTTCCTAAAATCCGTTTCGAGTTCGCATATTTCTCTTTCTTTCTTATGCATTTGGAATTCAAACGACAAATAGGTCCATCCACCCCCCGAAATCCCTCGAAAACCATACCCGAACTCAGACCAAAATAGACAAAGGCTATACCCGTTTTCAGACCAAATCAGTGCAAAAACCATACCCTTTGGGGCGGCACATACCTATAAGGCAAATATAAGAGAGTACCCCCTAGCCTGGGAGACAAATATGAAAATAACCGCTCAAAACATTAAAAGAAGGCATATAATATAACACAGCAAATCACAAAAGGAAGCAGGGGCCCACGAAAAAATTTTGTTGCCAAGTGATCAGATCAGCTGACAAAAAGGTTATCCTTACCCTTGCAAAATTATTATCGAGTTTTTTTATCTCCTTTGCGTCGCTCAGTGTTCCATGAATGTTTCCAAGTTGGTACCTGGATAAAGCTCGGCACAAAAACGTTTGAGGTCTACAGAAAGGATTGTTAAAATGCAAGGCGACACTTGCGCAACACTCAGCAAGGTGGTAGCTTTGTCCTCGAAAGAGACAAAATCCACGTTTGGTCCATGTCCATGCTTCTTCCTGGAAAATAATAAATCGAAAGTGGAAAAATATGCAACAGTATGGGTCGACAAAACTCCTTTGGGGCGGCAAACATGTGTTTTGCTAGTCGTAGAGGTCGTGTAATTGGAGGATCATGAGTGAAGTAAAGAGGAGCAGATAGGAGAATTCAAAGCTAAAAGACCAAATTCAAAACCTGGGCGAAGAAGTGTTACGTTGATGTCTCCATTGTAAAAACTACATTTTTCAAAGCTTTAATGCAAAATAATCACCAGTGTCAATTACGAGTCTGCCGTGTCTATAACTCACGTTTTTCTCTTTGATTAATTAACAAATTACTAAATTAGGTACAAACTAGGGTGCACCTGGGTTTGTATTCTTTTATCGTCTTTTTCTGTAATATTAACCTACGAGCAGAGGTTTCTCTCTTGGATGGCTTATAGCGTTCACGAGATCATTTGAGTGGCTTGTCTCTCGCGTAGTTGGTTAGTTTACAACCCGTGATTTCGTAAAGGCTAAAAGCCATGCAAGAGAAAAGCCTCTCATCGCAGGGTACTGTAATATATGTTTTTCTTTTCTCTTGAGCCCGTCTCGGCTACCTCTTAAGCTAATTACGGGCTTAGAGCATTGTCTTTATGTAATTGAACAGTTTAAATAAAATCTTGTTGTTGTTGTTGCAGGTAATGATATTTTCATAGTGCGTAAATAGAGACTGACCCACCACTCCCGTCCCCAAGTAACGATGACTCACAGAAAAATCTTATGGCTCGTTTTCAAATGGTTGAATATTACATCCCCTAGCCAGAAGCAGTTTCTAAGCCTAGGCGCAGAAATGTTGAAACAGTTTTTCACTAAATGTTACGGTGTTCTCATAAAATGCAAAAAATAGAGGTGTATAATTCACAGCGCATAACTAATTCTCTTTAATAAATAGTCAATTTATCAATGAATTTTATTTGTTTGCTTATAGTTTGCTTAGCTAATTGCTAGTGATTTGTTTAAGTCTGCGGATACGGTAGAATCCCCGCGAGTTTTTTTTTTAAACCACCCTGGGAACAAGGAGTTTCCCCAAGCCCCAATTTCAAAGTGAGGCAAAGTGCCACTGACATAAAAACCATTTTTTAATTCTCAAGCGAATAAGCTCATTTTCACAAGAAAGGTTTTGCACTAAGCCTCGTTTTGTAAGTGAGAGTTTTTGTAACTCGAAAATGGCCCATTGGTTCGAACTATCAGGAGGTTTGAAAAACCGGGGCTGAAATTACATTGTTTGACTGGTGGAGGAAAGTTAGCTTTGGTTCGAATTTTCGGGAATTTCGAAAAACCGAGGGTTCAAGAAATCGGAATTCTTCTGTAGATAGCGCTCAATCAAGCGCTCAATCAAAGAAGCAACAACGCTGGTGCAGTAAAACTACAAAAGTTACCTCTGAGTTCTCGCCGTAAGCAGGTAATCCAGCATTTGTGGCTTCCATCATCTCTTGCACCGCTCTTCCAGCATCACCTAACTGCCAAAAGCACTCTGCTCGATCAGCAAGAAGAGGAGCGGCAACTTTGCCAAGGAAGGGAGGTATTTGATTAAGAGCCATGGATAGAAATCGCAAGGCTTCTTGATAATTCCCTTTCTGCATCGCAATTCGAGCCGTCATGACGAAATGGTTCCTGGCATCCATGTTGAGTTGCATGGTATCGTACAGCCGATTCCTGTAACCAATATAACCGTGTTTCTATCAGTTAAACGTAAAAGTGCTTTTAGTCTCGTCAGATAACGAGGGAACAAATAGACCGAAGTTTTGTCGCATGTTCTAAATTCATTTAATGACGTGCGTGACTGTAGATCTCTGTAAACCAAATGCCAACTGGGTTGATGAATTATTAAACAGTAGAACTTTAACTTTTGATACAAACTCCCGCTGTTGCAGATCTCCAACCCCTAGATGGTGGAGGGGAGGGGGTACTTCCTAGTAATAGGCTAGAGGGGATGTGCCATGCTATCGGATGGGGTTGCGTTACCACCTCACGATTGGCTTGCATTGCCTTTGTAGCATTAGTTTAAAGCTATGCTGAAAGATATTACTTTCTTATGGTCCTTATTAAAGCGCTGAAACTGTACCATGCAATTCATACCACAGGGTCTGATCAAGAGATAATCCTTGGTGATCTTCGAAGTCAAGAAAACGCATGAGCTGAAAAACCACAAAGTATCTCTGTTACTCCCTCAGCTCCCTGGCTTACTACATCGACTGTATTAGTTAAGAAAAAATGACCACCCCGCATAGGATTCAAAAGCCGATCTTAAGTATTCAATCTTAAAAGGCTGCCAGGTTTAATAACAAAACCTATAGCCTGCGTAGCTGGCGCTTGGTAAAGCACGAATACGACGTGAAAATGCTTTAAAATTTAGCACGTGAACACGGACAATGACCGTTCTAAATTATCCTTTCCTGAACTTCGATACAGTCTCTTAGAATTCAACTCCAGAAAAATACACCAACATTTGACGAATTGAACGAGTTGGAATAGGCGCGATAAAGTTTGAAGCAGCGTGAATTCAATTTGTAAGTGACGTTTTCGTAGCTGTCCCTATTGAGTGCGAGAAAGAACGGCCCGCGCGACGGAGCCACAACATTTTTTAACATCCAGTCACAGCCAAAACACGAAGAGGTAATTATACCCTCTTGTTATTTTAACAGNCAGCCAAAACACGAAGAGGTAATTATACCCTCTTGTTATTTTAACAGGCCTGCTTATAAACACGCAGGTTTTGGCTACTCGCGACTGAACTCTCGTTAACCCATGTCAAAAACAAGATATATGCCCTGGCGTCATGTCTCAGTCTCAACATATGTTATTTAATATTATTTTGCCTGTAAAACTCTATAAGATCTAGACCATTCTGAGTTAACAAGCCTTATTCCGCCAGACATAACAATTCGCTCATAATATATGTTTACAAAGAAACTGTGATTCATGTTTCAGAGCGTTGCCAATTTTCCCTTTCTCATCTGTAGCCCTAGCTGTTTTCCTTTGCATCGGACAGGGGTACCCAACGACGGTTTCCTACTACATAAATTGAAAACACCTTTTAGGCTATCCAGAATACTTTTAGATCTCTAGAAATGCATTCTAAGCGGCGCTATAAAATTTGTATCTGTTCGGTTATCCTACAGGGCAACTTGAGTCTGTTCGAAATTATTGGGGCTCCAGTGGTACTTTCCCGAAAATTTTAGATGCAATTTAACGTCTTACGAAAGTGAGAATTTTTCTAATTCCTCTCTACATCGCATTTTTGAATCCGAAAATTTTAGGTTTCCTTTTTACTACGAAAATAGCCTTACCTGGGGACTAAAATGTGAAAAATTAAACTTCAGACAATAGACACAGTAGTGGATTTATTGGAAAATCGTCGAAAATTCTACATGAACGGTCATATAGAAATTTTTAGCCGTCCTCAAGTTATAGAAAATTCTAGGCAATATTTGCTTCTCCGAACAGATATTTTACAGAAAACAGTCGTTGGGTGCCCCTGATCGGAAAACACCAGACACTGGTATAAAAGCAATTTTAAATGAGAGTTCACACGAACATCACGTTTTACCTGAAATCGGTCATATTGAATGTCTGATATACAACACATTCATAACAGCTCAACAATAAACTTGTGACAATAAAGGGAACAAACCCCTTTAATCTACGAAGTAATTCCGAGACCATCGTTTTGAATAGTGAAGATTAAATTTGAAAAAATTCACGGTCTACAACGCACAACGCCATTTGAAACCACTAATAAGTCGGTTGTCGTCGCAAATGATTGTTACTTACTTGAGTTTAGGAGGTCTTACATCTTAAGTTAGCTTTCCTTCGCGTAAAATATACAGCAGACGAACTGCGAACCCGCATATACCGGGTACGAACTTCAAAAAACCCTTCCAAATTGTAAATAATACGAGCGCACTGTATTCAAATTTAGCTAATATAAATTTGTTTGCCCTCCAGAGGAAACAGCCTGTGTGACACACGCAACCCGGAAGTTACTGTCAGCCAATAGATGCAGTAGGAAACCAAAACATCTATTGTTGTAGCAATATTTTATTTACTTCAAGTCACGGCAGGTTCTTCTCAGAAAGCCTAGAAAGTTCTAAGAAACAATTGTCATGCTTATTCAGGATTAGGTGGTGGGTAATAACATTGCCTTAACGTATCCTAAGTAACTTTGATTTATTTTGTGAAATAATTTGTCAGTGAAATAATTATTCAGTTTTTGTCGCACCAAAGTAGGATATATCTATAATTTGTCTCTCTCTCTATTTTTCTCTATTTTTTTTTAATAGTGAGGGTATTTAATATTCCATATCATTTTATGGTTGAATCAAAATTACGATTGATCCAATTTACGGGAAAGAAACTGAACTGCTTACACTAGGGCTTTTTAAATGCAGGCACCTTGCATGGGCCGGCTCGGAGAATGGCTGACATTTCCTGAATTATGAAAAGATTCTCTTGGCTGTCAGTTACAGAAAGTTATCGCATAAGATTTTCCAGCTATAAAAGCTCTTCGACAGGAAGAACTGTCTTTTGGCTCTTAGAGGTTCGACCATCCTTTTATGTAGTATTTAGTACACTTTTCAGTTTAAAAAAAAGGGAATTTGTATAATGTAAACTATTTTTTGATCAACTTTAAAACGAAAATCGTGACTAAGGGCCTGGTTACATTGAGGTAGGGAAGGTAACCAGCTGCCTGATCTCAATTACATGATAGGTGCGGATGACCATATGATATATTATATGGACAAGTGGCATGGGTTCCCTCACTTACCTCATTCAAGATCGTACTGGGTACGGTGCAGCTAGGTTGGGACGCTCATTCGCCCCCAGTCGCCCTCGTCAGAGACGCGGTCAATAGTCTCCCGTGACGGTTCCGTGACCGCAAATATTAAGAGACGACTGGGGACGAGTCNATTATGAAAAGATTCTCTTGGCTGTCAGTTACAGAAAGTTATCGCATAAGATTTTCCAGCTATAAAAGCTCTTCGACAGGAAGAACTGTCTTTTGGCTCTTAGAGGTTCGACCATCCTTTTATGTAGTATTTAGTACACTTTTCAGTTTAAAAAAAAGGGAATTTGTATAATGTAAACTATTTTTTGATCAACTTTAAAACGAAAATCGTGACTAAGGGCCTGGTTACATTGAGGTAGGGAAGGTAACCAGCTGCCTGATCTCAATTACATGATAGGTGCGGATGACCATATGATATATTATATGGACAAGTGGCATGGGTTCCCTCACTTACCTCATTCAAGATCGTACTGGGTACGGTGCAGCTAGGTTGGGACGCTCATTCGCCCCCAGTCGCCCTCGTCAGAGACGCGGTCAATAGTCTCCCGTGACGGTTCCGTGACCGCAAATATTAAGAGACGACTGGGGACGAGTCAGGTACAGGGGAGGCGGAAATATTTTTAAAAATGGTGAATGGTGCTCTTTAAATAGGAATATGTAGCCCCATATAAGTATTTTAAACCTAAATATCAAAAAACAGATTTTCCTTTCGTATTTGCAGATAATTAATGTTGATCACTATCAGAGTTAACCGAACCAAAGGATCGCAGTATCACTAAAGTCAGTTTGCTCATGTTTTTTGGACTATTTTGTTAGCGAATTCTAGTTCTTACGCGCAAAAGACGAAGCAAATAGCCTCAGTATACGGCAGAAAACGTTTGGAGTCCGCTTCAGAGCAGTATAACGGCAAGAAATTTTTCCTGGTACAAAAGATTTACAGTGGAGTATTCTAACGGCTTGACCGCAGGTTACCTATTGGCCGGGTATCACGATATTCGTAATAGCTACTGCCGCGTAATAATAGAGTGCTCCATGTCTCTAGAAAGTTCTTTTAATAATAATTCTTCTGTGAAAAGAAATATGAGCCTAAGACGACCTAAGACAGAAGTTACGGCACATAAACAAAGTAATTAAATAAGAAACTTTCTTCATCTACAAAAGAGTTTGCATTAAACACGACTGTTACAATGTTCACTAGTTTAATAGGAAACTTTTCTTCATCTTCAAAAGAGAGTACACATTAACAGTTACACATTTCATAGCAGTACACATTAAATACGACTTTTCTAATGTCGCCAGGGCTTAAGCAACGGCGACGGCGACGTCAACGAGAACGGCAAACAAACAATAGGTCTAGATTGGCAAAATGCCAACTCTGCACGTGCGTCACGCTTTTTTGTACATTTCTTTTGCCGTCACTGCACAACTACAACGTGAAAATGCCTAATTTCACGTTTTGTGGAGGACAACTGGAGGACGTGAACAAAACCAACGACTTTCTTTTTCTAACCTGCGAAACAGCCTGTTAGAATTCAAATTGCCAACATTTGACGAATTGAACGAGATGAAATAAGCGCGATAAAGTTTGAAACAGCGCTTCTTGACTTTTTAAGTGACGTTTTCGCAGCCACCGCCGTCGTTTTTGCTTAAGCTCCCTAATATCATTTGAGGGGTCTGTGTACCTGACCACCCACCCCTCCCCTAAGTCAACATTAGCACTTACTTCTCACTTAAGACAAAACTTAGGGTGACTTAAGGGAGGGGTAGGAGGTCAGTAAACCAGAAGCCTCAAATGATCCGATAACGACTGTAACAAAAATTACTCAAAACTGCCTGACGCTTGATGGATGAAGAGTTATTTCAATCTTGAGTATACGGATGTTCTCCTCAGCTGTAATATCTACATTTTTTTGGCAAAAAAGTTTCATGAAAGTCGGCGATTTTGATAGGCTCAAGCTTCGATAACGTACTGGTCACCCTCCTTGTAGATATTGAGGTTTTTCAACGTGGAAACGGCAATCCTCTCTGGTGGTTTGTTCTGAAAGACATGATTCAGAGTTAATATTAAGGTAATATTAACACGAAATACAGTGATTTATGACATATCCAACAGAAGGGAAATCGAAATACATCGCGTAGTGGAGCATTTTTGACTAACTTCGATGCGCTTGATATGGCCTTGTTTTGCTTATTAGCAAATTTTTTTTGCCGTTAAATATGCCGTTCTCACACCACCTATTAATATAGAAGTAGTCACTCTGTCAAGTTAATTTGGCATCTTTCAACCTAGGTGTGATTTCGAGGCGTCAGCAAGACGTTCAGCTTTTAAAAAGAAGCTACTTTAACTCACTGATGCTCTTTTTCGAGTCCTCTTAACTCGTCCTTTCTCTTCATTTTTTTCTTCGGGAGCCTTTTCTTCTTCGATATCCTCGTAAATATTTTCTATGGGTTCTTCTTTTGCAGGTTCGGGTTCCGTTTCCGCTCTGGCTTTCTCGACGCGCTTAATGAAATCTTTCCGACCCTGAAAATTCAAGAGACATGTTTATGAGTATTTCACAACGAAGTTAGTCTGCGACACCTGAGTGACGTGCGCCAATCGGAAGTGAGGCCTTCTTCCTTTAAATACATCTTGACGCCGCCAAATTGGTAATGCCTGGTTGTCTTGCTCTTGCCCAAAAATGTGGGCGAACAACTGCCGAATATTGCAAAATATCCACTTTCGGTTAGCGCGAGTCACTCAAAAACGTCTCAAAGTACACGTAGGGAATGATGGGATTAAAACTAAGTCACGTGGTGGTCTCTCTGAGAGCAAAGTACAGCCGATCTATGATTTCACTTTGTTATCTCGATAAAGAACAGAAACAAGCAGTTGTTCTTCTTTGTTCTTTCTTCTTAAAGAACCTAAAAAATCTCGAAACAAACTCCAAGATAAGAACTCCTATATGAAGGTCTTGTAATTGGTTAAGTTCAAAACTTTCTCTAGGGAGTTCTGACAAAGATTGTTCAAGTCGTGATTAAAAAACATTCAACTCTTTTGCGGTTTTGCCAAAGTTTCAGTTACTGTGGAAACTCGTTTTTGCCAGTCTCAGTTATAAGTGATGATTATTTGTCAATTCTTTTAAGACTTACTTAACCGTATCCCTTTCAATTTTCATTCATTCATTCGTTTTCTTATTGTTTCAGTCAGTCTTACCTTATTCATTTCTCTTGCATTCTATAATGCATTACATTTCTTTATCAAATAAGATTCCTGTAATCACTCTGCTTAGATATCCCCAGGTACAGTCGACACTTGAAGACGTTTTTACATCAAATTTCATTTCAATTGCACATTCCCTCATCCGTTTCAAAATTCTTACCTCCCTTCCGAAGACAAACATGGCAAGAGCCTAGAATAAGAAAAAAAAGCATTCACCAGATCAGTTGGATAAAAACTTGAAACTTAAGGCTGGTCTTCACTAGCGACGGAGTCGGAGTCGTAAACTGAGTCGGAAGAGCGCTTATGACCTAGTGAAAATCAAAAATCGGAGTCGTAGCGGAGTCATAAGCGCGACGGAATCGGAGTCAGAAGAATCAGAACGTTTTCCATATTCTTCCAACTCCTCTTACGACTTCGTCACTTATGTTCCGTTTATGATCTATATAGTGAAAACCAGATTGTCGGAGTCGGAAGCAGAAGCGGAAGGATAAACCAATCACAATGCACGTTTCCACGCTTTGTGATTGGTTTAGTTCTTCCGCTTCTGCTTGTGACTCCGACGACCCAGCTTTCACTTGATCGTAAAATAGACGACAATGTCGTAAGCGGAATCAGAAGAATCAGAACCCTGTTTTCACTAGATCGTAAAGTTCTACGCTTCTGATTACGACTCCGACTCCGACCTCGTCGCTAGTGAAAACCAGCCTATAATAGTTCAAAGGGTGTGGTCACAGAAAATGTGGAACGAATGATAATCTTCAGTAGCAACATTGCATTTTACATGACGGGGTGTCACGACCAGGGAGCTATAGTGAATTGTCATGTGACTTACCTGCATGATGACAAAAGAAGAGAGCAGATACTGCTCAAGGAATCGTTCTTCTTCCACGGCCTGGTAAGCGAATGTGCAGGTTAATCCAAAACACAGCAGAATAAACATGTCTTTAATCACGCGATACCTGTAATGAATAAGCTTAGTTAAAAACAAAAAAAATGCACTTTATTTGAACTGTCAATGTATTTAACACGAACGTAATGGAGGACACTATTCGGAGACGGGACTGCCATTTTACATGATCATCCGAGCTACACGAAGGTCAGGCCGTTTCTGGGCAAAGGCAATACATTTATTTCTCACCTTCTTCAAGAAACTGAGTATTGGTCGGGCCCCGGGAAACGAACCCGCGACCTCCCGCTCTGCAGGCAAGCGCTCTACCGAGATAAAAATGTCTCACAATCTCGATCAATGATGTTCTTCTGACTTTCTCCTATCTGCGTCCTCTCCTTCAGTTCTTTCACATCTACTCCTGAATTGTCTTTGAGAGTATCCCATAAGTCTTGAAAAAGGTTATCCATTCCTCGTTTACCATTGGTTGGCTATCACCCAAAAGCAGAAAAGTCAGATGTCCCCTACTGTATTTTTTCTCTGCTGAGATCGTCCTGTATTTACAAAATTGAGGACTTCGCAAGCTTTTACAGAGCATCTCCTTTGTACAAATAATGCGTACCAGTTTTACACTTACCTCATTTCTTCATAATCGTAACCGTCTCTAACATCCTGTGTTGGAATGAGCAGCTTCACCAAGACAGCCACATTTAACTGGAAAAACAACCGAGGGTTTCAAACGTTTTTATCATTAATGCCAAGAACATTAAAGAGGAATTTAGGGAAACAAATCATGTTAACAGTAGGGCGAAATGAAAATAGACTGGGTGTTAGGCGCGTCGGGCGCGCGAGAAAAGGAGTGAGGTGTTTCCTCTCTCCTCCCTATTGTTACCGGTCCGTCCCGTTGTCAAGCTGCAAATTTCCCCCTTTCCCTTCCAAACGCCTGCCACACAGGCTACGTAGCCACAAGAATGTGATACCGGGTATGAAAATTGAACCAAAATTCACCAAGAAAGACACGCAGCAAATTCCGCGGTTTTAGAGCATGCGATGTATATTAATGGCAGAGCGATCCTCGAATCTGATCTCTTGCTGGTACAACCGCTCATCCACACCTCCAAAAACAAAGAAACCACCTTTTCTGAGGGATAATGCAAATAAATACGACTTCACAAATTAATTCCCTGACTTATTAGGAGCCGTTGCTTACCAAAGCGATGGCAATGACGGGCATCGCATATCCCCACATGGCTCCTCCAACTGCCGCCTCCCAGCAGCTGTCAAATGATCAAGAAAGAATGTCAACAGTTAGAGAAATAATCGGAGACATGCTTAGCAAAAATATTAATGTGGTAACTGAATATAAGGAGAGGTACTTACACGTCATCTGGATTCTTCAAGTTGATCTTCACACCAATGGCAATAAGCCCCAAAAGCAGCGGCAACCCTGCAAGTAAGTAACATCAAAATGTCATCGTGAGATATTTAGTGAATTTTACTAAGCTAATCTATAAGAAACTATGGCTAACGCAAATCGTTGATTTAGTCAAATGACCCTGTCGTCTCTTTCAGTGGTTTATTCTCTGAGAAAATAAATACAGTATTTTAAACGAGGATATGGACAATGCTGACAGTCTCATTTATTGTTCAAAGATTCAACGAATTTGCTGACGTTGTGCTACTGACTGCCCTCTGATATGAAGAAAACCTTAAGTTCTAGTTTTGACTGTCTGTAAGAGAAATCGCATGGTGTGAATCTAAAAATTTATGACTTTTGTTTGTTTTTTAAGTCGCAGAGTTACTTCAAGAGCAAGCCGACAAATTTAATTATTGGCGCATAATTCATTAATAAATGAAAGTGGCTTTGACGGGAGGTTTTGGAGATCGGTGCATGCAAATTGCAATCATGCAATAGGAACTTCAAATGACCGAGCATTTTAAATATTCATACCCCATCCAATTCCGAAATACACAGCCTCAATGTTGAGATTGGACGCAAAGAGTTTCTTGATTTTGCCATGGATTCTCAGACCATGAAGAAGGAGCCAGCAGAACTCAGCCAAAACAGAGAAATAAACGGCGAAGGAAAGAAATCCACAAAGAGCCTGCGAACAAACGATTTAATAAAACGATGAGCACAAGGCTAGATAGATGGGGCAAGAACAGCATTCTTGCTCTCTTGTTAAAATTTAGGATTTCAGGTGAAGGAAAGCGTACTTTTTGGATATCTGCATGATAGCCTGAGACAAAAGCCGAAATTTCGTGCTACGTCACCACTGGTTTTCCCGCGAAATGACGTCTGAAAACGAGCACAGATATTCCAAACTGATGACATGTTAACATTCAGATCTGGGTAGTGCTTCCGATTGGTCGTTCCGCGTGAGAAATGTTCTTCAACCAATTAGAAGCGCTACCCAGATCTGGGTAGTGACCTGTTATCAGTATAGAATTTCTGCACTCGTTTCCCAGACGTCATTTCTCCAGTTGTGGAGTCGCGAAATGTTAGCTGTTTTCTTAGGTACATATCTGATAGTACCAGAATATTTGGTATCTCAGTGCAAAATGACTATTTCTATCTGAAAAAGGAAAATGTGTTTTGATTATCGGTGGAGGTTGCGATATCTGTAAAATTCACGTTTGGCATCGAGAAATGGTCTTGCACCTCCCCCCCCCCCTTCCAACCTCCACCCGTCACCGCACTTAACGTGCCAGTTAGCGCTAACTGCCTGCTACCTTAACCTGCAACCCGGCCTCTCGAGTTACCCGCCAATTTAAACGGAATGAAATCAAAGAAGGCCAAGCTGCTAAGCAGATCCATAATGGCGACTTAGGTTGCTGCATTTTTACAATTAATATATCAAGAGTATTTTCTTCTGATTTATGGACTCTGTCGGTGCTGAGAATGGCCAGCAACTAAACACACTGTCATCTTTTATCTGTGATAGGACAAATATTGTCCTTTCCGGCGCGACTATTTTCATTTCAATATGCTGACATTTTTTATTACCTGCTGGGCCTTGACATGGGCGCCGATCAGGAACACCGACTGCATGATCATAATGGCGACACACATGTTAATGCGCATGACTTCTCCACCATGGACTTCACTAAAAAGATGCAATATTAAAATTAGCGAAATATACATAGAACTGAATAGGAAACTTTTTTTTGTAGCGAATAAACCTGAAATTGTTCAAAAGAAGGCAAAATTTCCATTCTTTTCCGATAGGCTAGCAAAGAGAGGGTCTCTCCGAACAAAAAAGATATAAATATGGTATAGTTTCCTCCCACACCTATTTGAATACCGATGGTTCTACTGATACTTACACTTTCCAGACAATATGCACAATGGCCAAGATGAGAATGAAAAATGAAATCCCAATTCCAATGTATGTATTTGCCAACAGGTTAAGTTTGCCGGAATCAATCTAAGAAACAAACAAGAAATAGGAAGTTTTGCAAAAAGTTCTCAGCTGAGTTACCAGTAAGAAAAAGATTTTCGAGAGCTCGGATATTTTAGTCCTGAATGATGACACTGAACTGCAATGTTGAACAAATTGTACAAGCTACGTTAAATGTAGCCTGCGAGCGAGCTATCTAGGGGGCTCTAAATGTGAAGTTAAATTGGAATTATTGGTCATAATTTCCTTCTCGACGAGTTGAAAGACATCTTTTATTTTTTACTTAGTCACCCGTTTCCTTCCCAAGACTTCCATTTAATGGCTTTTGGGGACATACTCTCTTACTTTGCAGGTTATGTCCTTTGAGCACGTACAAAAAAACATTAACTTTTGATCCATACCTTTTCTTGTCCCAGAACAGCAAAGATTCCTTGATGATCACAAGCGCAGGAAGTATGCGTTATGTTTGTTTTCAGAACCGAGCATCCTCGCCTCGTCCAGCTACCAGTGGTCTGAAGCCTGCAAGCACGGTACAATCAAAAGAAGATAAATCCACAACTTAAGCCAAAATCACAACAAATTTACTTTTCATTAATAGCTCATGTTGGAGCCTTGTGTTGTGAAATTCCAATCCTTGTGAATTAGTCACATTTTAGAGATAGAAAGCAACCTCTAAGCTTTTGGGCCATCTTAATTCTCATTATCGGTCGCTTTTCTTCCTCAGTTTCTGTCGCCTTTTACTAACGCCTTTTAAAGTCCTTAATCTCCGCATATTAGCACTCCTCCTCAGTTTGATTCTCCAAATTTTTAGTGCAATGTTTCTGTCGGCCTGGTCTTCTGCCAATCTGCCTTTTATACTTTCATTCAGATACATGTTCCAAACCTTTTAGGTAACTAAACCTTAGCTTCGAGGTGGACTATAAGAGAAACGCACGCTTGCTTAAGTTTGAGTTTATACAGTCAACTAAAAAGTACAAAAAGCGAAGAGAGCACAACACTTCGAAGTCATCAATTCTGGTATTCCGTTATGTAAGCCGACACAAAACGTCCCAGCTAAATTCAGTTAAAAGCTAGCCGAAAAAGCCTGGGCCGAATGCAGTCGTCGCATTCAGCGGAAGGCGTTTTTCCTTCTCAAGTGCAAATGTAAATCTTTAAAAAAAAAAAAAGCATAACTAACAACTCCAGTTGGTTCTATACTTCAGTGGAAAAATCGAGGAACTTACTGATCAAAATCGCCAAATGCAACGGGCTGTTCTTTCCTGGAAATATGAACCATGTCCAACATTAACTAGTAACTCCTGTCTCAAAATTGAAACCGGAGATTTGATTTACAGAGAAAGAATCGAAAGTCCAGTAAAATTTAGATTAAATGAAGCATTCGCTAATTTAGATTTAGCTGTTGTCTCGTCCTAAAGAGAAAAATAGCTTTTTTTTGGATTTTTTTTGTAGTTTCAAAAATAGTTTTATCCTTTTCGTCCATACTGTGACCTTTGCCTATACGACACAAAAGTCGAATAACTATAACATGTTTAATTGCAAAGCTCTTTTTATCCGGCCATGTTTGCTGCTTCCTTATGATGAAAATTGAAGCGACAAGGCTGAACTGGGATTTTTCCGCTTTTTCTTTGCACAGATGATCACGGCGGAGAAAAAACAAGAGTATCTCGCTGAAAAACAACTCACTTAAAATACTGCTTAATTTGGGGGGTTGAGTTACTTACTTGGCTTTTTGATTCCAACTAACGCAGTACTTTTTGCCGTTGTAAAACATGGGGAACAGATTTTCGTTCTGAAATTGAACGGAAGATGTAGTGATTAATTTATTCTCTAGTGAAAGAATTTTTCCAGCATTTTGTTGTTTATTCATGTGCTTCTTTACCGGGCTGGAAGAAGGATATTGCCTGTTGATCTCATCATAGTTTCTTTTTTGTTTCTTCTCTTCCTCATTTACAACGCACTTTTTCTACACACTTTCTTGTTAAGAAAGTAAATAAAACAAACCACAAGCTCAATCTCCCAAGTTTTATTAACATTCAAAATTTTCACCACCAGAGAGGGAGATCCTTGTACGTCCATTGACCCGGGCAGAACTCACCATTACCTCAGACTGGAGTCAAGAGTTCCTAAGCCTGGTGTCCATATGATCGCTACGATCGTTATGATCGTTAGGGTTTTTTCAGAATCGAATATGGCCAAAATGGCAGATAACCAGTCTACAGATCTTAACCCCCGCTAACCTCGTTCGGAACAACTCATGAATGCCGCAGTCTATGAATACGGCAAGCTTCTGTATTGTATATCATATATCTATTACAAAGTTGGATGTATCAGAATGATAGTCATTCAGTAAGTGATCTTTTTTAATACAAGCGATTCGAAACGAAAAGAGGCGGATTTTCCCAACAGGTTTCGAATCCATGACCTTCTCTTTCAGTACTACTATTACTAATGATTTGTTCTTTCGTAAATTTTGTTTCTTAAAGCTCGCATTTTTCAAGATGTTTTCTGTCTACCTATATTTCCTTACCATGATGAGCTCAAAATTGATCACAATTCTGTTATCACCGGCCAGTGAAAGATGACGGTTAATGTGGCTAGTTATTATCCGGGAGATTACGAATACTTTTTCCTTAAAGACACATTCTTTGTCATTGGTTTGGCTAAAAACAAAAAGTAAAAGTACACATATTGTGGTTAGTTTAGTTCATAAAAAAATTTCGATTAATTTCATTGTCCAATTTATCACTTGACAATCTTAAAACTTGTTTGTACTCTTTTGAGGATGAAGCCGTGGCTACAGCTAACCTGCATAGCGGGCAGAATCATTTTCGTGCGTGTGAAAGTGTTTTTGGCGAATGGCATGCATGTTTGCTGCGAGAAAATTCCAAAGATATTTGAAAGCGTGTCCTCCCAATTCCCCGCACGGCTTCGCAGTTCCTCTGCCAAAACTTTGCAGGCTCTAATGATCTCTAATGATCCCGCTGGCTACGCAGACTAG